AGGCCCTCGTGTCAAGCGCTGCGTTAGCGTTACCAGATTATCAATAAAAAAAAAAAACCTTTTGTTCAGATGGTGGATTGTAAAGGTCATGTCATGACCTCGGTGCTAGTCTAACAGCATGGTGATAAAATGAGACCAATAGCATATTTTCTTCAAAACTTGATAGTGTAGCGTGTGCCTTACCACATTGTGTGAGAGCTGTAGTTGCTGCTTCTATGGCAGTAGAAGTTAGAGCTCCTATAGTTCTTTTTCACCCATTAACATCAAAAGTAACATGCAGAATTATTAAACGAATTATTACAAGCCGTGCACCTACCAAAACAACTAGCAATCTGTAAATGTGCGGCGCACACTGCAGGGACAGATAAGGTGTCCCTAGGGAATGCTTTCGAAGACAAAATAATTAAAAAAAAAAAAAAAAGCAGCTGAGGGAGATAAATGTATTACATGTGGACGTAAAAATTAAATTTATGAAAGAAACCTTAAGAGACATGCAACAATTAAGTCCTCAAAACGAAAAGGATTTGTGGATAAAAAATGGAGCAAAACTGGAAAATTATATCTATGAATGACCTGAAAATAAACCTATTTTACCAAAGAATCTGTATAAATGGGCTGCAATATTGAGCCATGGCGTTTCGCATGTCTCAACAGGGGGGATGGTAGGACAGATACATCAACATTTCACTACTTATGGATTTATTTCTTATTCAAAAAATTTTTGTAGGGCCTGCCTGATATGTGCAAAACACAACTCTCAGGGAAATCTAAGACCGCGAAGAGGAAAATTTCCTAATCCGCAATATCCATTTCAAGTAATACACATGGACTTCATAGAATTAAATAAAAGTGAAGGGAAGAAGTATTGTTTAGTAATAATTGATGCTTTTCTAAATGGTTTGAACATTTCACTAAAAACCCAGATGCAGCGGAAAAGCCAACTTGGATACATTTAACACACTGCAAAAAGGAATTTAATTTCAAAAGTAATTGGGAAGCAAGCTCAAGACGCTCACCGACCTACAGGGCAAAGTCCAGGTTACAAAGGGGGTTAAACCAAATAGTTTTTCCGTCTCAAAACTGGTGAAGATTGTCCACAACCCTGTAGTGTCTTTAGGAGCAGAACGGACTAGCACATTAATGAAAATAACAAGCGAATATATCTTTGTTTTTATTTTGTGTTTTCATCTGGGAACAATTCACGTCACGAATAAAAATGTTTTCTTGTAACACTGTTTACAGAATGGAGATGGGTATTCAGGTATGTTTTCCACCTAGTTCTATTATCTTTTTTTTTTTTTAGTCTGCTGGGCAAGCATGACGTCAGCAAAATACAGAGATTAAACTTGATGTATGACAAATGATGTTTTAACACTGGACTGTTCTCTCTGTGAACAATGAATTTAACCCTGTCTTTCGTGCCGATGTCTGGTGGTGGTGCAGTGGTGACAAAAATTTTTAATAGATTACCTAGGAAGGTAACAGGGATGTCTGCATTAATTTCTTTATTATTGCCTGTTTCTGTTTATCCAATGACTGCTGATCATCTAATTCATGCTTTAACTGATTTGTCAGCAGTGATGTCAGTTGCAGAAACGAGACCTGACCTGGAGGAACAATGATCCTACATACATCGATGCCATTGGTGTTCCCCGTGGTGTACCAGATGAGTATAAATTGGCGACCAAATTGCAGCAGGATTTGAGTCCACAATTTGTTGGTGGTGTACATTAAACAAAAACGTTGACAGAATCAACTACATCCATTACAATGTACAAAACTGGGCAACTGGACACAGGCAGGCTTCGAGGCGGTGCATGAGCAGCTGGCCGCTACATCACTGATGGCTTTCCAGAACCGTATTGCACTTGACATGGTGCTGGCTGAACGAGGGGGAGTGTGTGCAATCTTTGGTGAAAGATGCTGCACTTTTCTACCCAACAACACAGCGGCTGATGGCAGCCTGACGAAGGCCATTGAGGGGCTCCGTACCCTTAATGGTAAGCTGAAGGAGTTCTCTGGAGTGAATACTTCCAGGTGACGACTGGATGAATGTTTTTGGAAAGAACCGAACCCTTGTGTCCTCTGCTTTAGTGTCGATGGCAGTCTTTGCTGCCATTCTAACCTTGTGTGGATGCTGTTGTATTCCTTGCCTGCGTTCTTTGTTTAATAGTCTCATCACTACAGCAATTTAGCCCATGGGGAACCAGATGATGCCGATGTATTCCTTATTGGCGAGAGAACCTGAGTCTGACAGAGAAAGCTCTGATGAGGACTCTTTTGATGTGTTTCCTGATTCTAAGTTTTGGACTGAGTATAAACCTTGAGTGTAAACATGTTTGCTTTCTTAAAAATGAACTCCTAGTTGAAAATTGTTTGAAGTGGCTGTTTAGGAAGGATATGAGAATTAGAACAAATATTTGATAAACAGGGGGGAAATGTTGGAGAAATTGTGATATTATTAATCAATTATTTGTTATTCTCATTGATCTTTATAATGTGTCTTTAATTGATGCTTTCCTTAAAGTTAATCTCATTATAGAATTAAGAATGTTTCTTGTATTGTTGATTTACTCTGATTCCTTTCTCAGAAGGCCTCACTGACAGAGAGCAGAAACAAAATCTTCCTGCAGGTTTACCTCTTGGTGAAGAGCTCTGCTTCGGTTGAGTTGCTGGCCTCCAATAAAACCATCATTGCTAAGATCACTACATATTTTATTAATCTTTGTGCCTGGAAGGACATTATCTAGTACAGAATGATTGTGTGTTAGTTAGTGAATAACATTTGACGCTGTAGCTGTTTGCCCCCTCCCTTTAGAGCTACAGCGTCCTTGTGATTAGGGATCCTAGAAACAATAAAATAGAGGAGCAGACAAAATGTGCTTCAGAGCGGTAGGAGATTGTAACTGAAGCACATCTCTGTCCGTTCTCCTCGCGAGTGAAAAAGAATCTAACTCTTTTGTCTTTTCTGTCTCTGTTAATGTATGTTTAACAGATGTTAACCCTAACAGAACTCAAGACAGCCATGACATGATGTTTTTTTACAAGTGTATGCAAACTTTTGACCACAATTGTATCTCATTTCCTATTCTTGGTTGAAAATATTCTCAAACTGAAATCTGCCAGCGACATTAATAATTTCTTAAGTGTTTATGTAGTTGGCTGAATGTAACTACATAATGGGGGTCATATAATTGAGAAAAGAATAACTAAAAAGAATTTTCTCTTACCTTGAGAATTGTATTGCAAAGCTACAGGTAAGAAAATATTAGCATGAAAGTGTCAACAACATTTTTCTCCCAATCTGTCAGCCTTGTTGCTTGGTTGAGGGACTGATATGGTCAGCAGCAAACATGAAAGTCATCCCTGGAAACCAGAGCCTTTCTTGCACGATTTATTCTTTCAATAACATAAAGAATAAATTAATCCCTCAAATAAAACTTAAGCTCCAAGTTATCTGTTCTCACCGATTTTTTATTTGTGTTATTGAAAATGTAATTTACATAACTCAGGATTTTCAAAGAATGTATTTTGTGTCTGCGATGGCAACAGATTCCCTCTTTAGAATCAATAAAGTGCATAATAATTTGGAACAGCATGTAAACAATATTAAATCAGATGCATTAATGGTTTGTCCACAAATAATATGTATGATGTTGGAATTTAAGAAATATTTCAACATAGTTCAATGAACAGGGAAGACAATTTCGAGGTATGTTTCAAGAGACTAAATTGCTGGTGTCTGTGTCAACAACTTCAACAAAATGCTGTGCACTAAGTATTTTGATAAAATTGCTTACATATTTAATTTTTTTCCCACATTGTGAGTCCCCACCATGATTTCAGAAATATATGACACTCTGTCAAAATTGATGACATAACTGAGTAAAAAGGCACCAACATAACAAAATTACACATTAATACGTCTTTTTATTTTTTCCATGTATATAATACATTTTACATTATTTTATTTAATTCCTTAGTTGTAATTTTCAATACTAGTGTTTAGTTTAGTTTTGTCATTGTGCTGAATATCCTTCAATAAAGACAAATTCATTCACAGTAACTGAGAAAATAATATAAAATGTAATTTTAAAGTATTTGGGGGGAAAAATCCCATCAAAACTGAAACTGCAACCACAGCTGAGACCAAACCTTTTGGAGGTTCTTCTTGCTCATTCTGCGGACAAGTCTCTTTGCGGGGCCTGGAGACAGAGACGGTAGTGCAATTAATTTAATAATAATAGATAATATTTTCAAATTCCCAATAGGCAACACACCAAGGTCACTCCTCCCTGCAAGGGGCTATTTATAAATTTCAATGCCTGTTTTGTACTGTAACCGAACTCCGTCTCACATACGGCTCAAACGGACACATTATCAGGAATGACAACAGAACTTAGACTCAGGAACCAAAAAGACGATTAAATCCTTTTTAAAGTTATTCCATAATCTGAACGCGTCTTATGAACTATTCAGAAGTTATTCTAAACCAATCACAACAATAAAAACACGTAAAAGATTCTCAAACTCACCTTTCTCTCTGCTGTCCGTCATCCCAACAGCAACACTGTGAAGTTTTATTTCAGTCATTTACTGCTCAGAAATCAGCGACACTTGATCGAGGTTTTGGCCATTTCCGGTGATACACCGTCAAAATAAAATAAAGCAAGTAGGTCAATAAAAGAACTATTTTTCTCTCCAAGTAAATTGTATAAACTCAGCTAATCATATAACATTTACAAACTATAAATTTGTAACTGAATATCTTTCACCTCTATCTCTATTTATTTTTACTTTAATTACCTCCAAATAAATGTATTAACAAACATTTATTTTGTAGGTTAAATAGAAGTGAAAACATTTTATTTTAGTTTTATTATCATTTTCAAATCAGTCTTAATTACTTTAGACAGTAACAAACTGAATCAATAAAAAGTTGAACGAGGAATTTTACTTTGAAAGACGTCAGGTGACGTTGCCTGACAACAACTATTATAGACAAAAGTTGTGAAAAATGTGACGCCATCTTGGTCCGAGTTGTTGTCGAGACATTCTGTGCTTGTCTCATCCTATGAAGAGGTAAGTGGACCGTTTGCAGGACGCAACAGAACGGATGAAATCTACCTGAGAGATTTTTATTCTCAACATTTACATGTGTTTATTTTTATGTCAAGTTAAAAGACGGAGGAGAAAACGAATGCTGAGAGATGGAGTGTGTTCAGCTCAGATCCAGACAGGAGACATCTTGAGCCTTAATCGTTTGGTGGAAATCAGTAAGTAATAAAGCTCTAAGTAATAAATAAGTAATAAATAATAAATAAATAAATATATATATATATATATATATATATATATATATATATATATATATATATATATATATAATAACAGATGAAATTAATCTTGTAACTCAGACCCCTTAGCGAGAAATTTTTATCATATCATATAATTTTTTATCATATAATAATGTGTTTTATAGTTCATCAGTTTTTTAAATGTTGATTGAAATAATTTTTTTCTACCTTGAGTCACTTAACATTGTGCATAAAAACTGACATCTTTATTTTTTCATTGAGCTTTGCAATATCATTACATTTAAATTGTTCTGTAAACTCCAAAGACAACAAGCAGAAACTAAAGTGTTTTGCATTTTCTCAACAGAACGCTGTTCTGTCATGGATCAGCATCTTAACATTGTTCTTCTGGGAAAAACTGGAGTTGGGAAAAGTTCTTCAGCAAACACCATTCTAGGAAGGGAAGTGTTTAAGGCTGAAACAGACTTTGAGTCAGTGACCAAATATATTTGTGTGGAACCTGTAACTCTGTTTGGGAGACAAATTTCAGTGATAGACACTGGAGACATATTAACATCACAGGAGCAGATTGCAAAAGTTCTTCTGAATCTTTTGCCGGACTCCACTCCCTCTCTTTACCTGCTGGTGATCAAAGTTGGTCGTTTCACTCAAGAGGATGAAAAGGCTGTAGAGGCTGTAGAGAAAGTCCTCGGGCCTCGGAGGATGAAAAATTGTTTTCTGCTCTTCACTGGAGGAGATAGGTTAAATACATCACTAGAGCAATTTATTTTAGGCTCTACCAACAGTCCGCTTCCCAAAATTGTTGACCGTTTTTTATGGAGAATCCATCTTTTCAACAATAAAGATGGAGAAGAGGACCAAGTCAGAGAACTGTTGACAAAGACAGGACACATTGGAACAGGTCAGTACAAATTTCAGTCAGATCTTCAGTTTTTTTAATACACACAGTTTCTCATAATGTTTTTATTTTTGTGTGAACTTACATGCCTGGATGCTGCTGTTCCACCTGAATTTCCTCACTATGAGATAACATACATATTTACTCCTCTCATTCTAAATGCGTGAATAGTTTAAAAAAATAATATGCAGCTTCATAGAAAAAACAATTTGAAAAAAAATTGTTGATGGAATTTCAAAAGACTGGAGGAGATGATTATCTGGTTCCTGACTGAAGTAAATCCAAACTTTACATTAATTGGAGGCTGAAGGACGGTATTAAAGGGAACCAATTTTATTTCATTACAATAAAGTTTGGATAGATCTTTGGGCTACATATTTATTACATTATTATGAACTCATAATAATGTTCACCTATGTTCACATAGGTAAGGGTGTCAAACTCCAGTCCTCGAGGGCCGGTGTTCTGCAACTTTTAGATGTGCCTCTGCTGCACCACCTGAATACAATAATAGGTGATTAGCAAGACTCTGGAGAACTTATCTACACAAGGAGGAGGTAATTAAACCATTTCATTCCAGTGTTTTGTACCTGTGGCACATTGAAAAACTGCAGGACAGCGGCCTTCGAGGACTGGAGTTTGACACCCCTGACATAGGTGAACACAGATTTCACCTGTGTGGTTTGCCTGTTGGCTTCCCATTTTATCTTCATCTGTATTAGCTGTTGGGTTACTGTCACTTTAATGCAAACGAGCTGTTGCTGGCTGCACCCCCCAATGTAATATTTACTTTAACACTTCAAACACAAAAAGGAAAATTGTACAACATAAAGTCTGACTCAAGGTCATGGTGCTGCTCAACCATAAAAGAAGCTGAAAGTGGTTGTTGAAAATGAAAAAGAAACTCATGGTGTCTAACAAGCCCCTGAGGCCTTCACTGAAAAGCTGAATTCCTATAAATACATGCAGGAACACTTTAATTACTCATTACTGCCTCCTCCATAGCCCTGTCCCAGGGCGTTCCCCAAGGTTCACTCATCAACCCTCTTCTTTTTTTATCTTATGTACAAAGCGAAGGGTAGAACATGTTGCAGGTTCTCTTTTGAAACACCTTTAGTTTCAACACATTTAAATGTGTATTGAAACGTTTAAGTCGGACAACAACTGCAACAATCAGTGAAGGAACCAGAGAGGCAGAATATACACATCCATTCATATTAGACATGTTGAAAATGTTTTTATCATTTGGCCAGTAGAGTACAAAGTGAAACACTTGTGATTGATTTTCCACAGAAATTAATATACCTCATTGTTTTTAGTGTAATCTCAGATTAATTGAAGAAGGGCAGCTAAACTAACTGATGATCTGTAAATGGTCTTGAAAGATTTGTTGTTGCTCTTTCATTTTATCTCTAAACAAATAATAGATTTTTGCTTTGCAAACTTTTCGTAAAAGTGACCAAAAACTTTTTGTGATTTTATTTTTATTTTTTAACTGTCTCTCAGAGCGTAATGCTGGTCTGTAGGTGAGTCGAGTTTCCAGATGCAAATTAAAGTCAAAACCTTTTCTAATTTTCTTTCAGAGAGAGACAGAACTATAATCAAAATGTTGAGTCTGAAGATTCCTCTACAACAATGAAGGTACACAGGAACATTGTAAACATCTGAAATATATAGAAAATAACTAAATCATCAATCCATTTTATGACAATAAAATTAAATATTTTGTGATTTATGTTAAGGTACCCAGCACTGATGATGAACCAAAGGATCTTATCCAACACATGTTGGACCCTGATCCAACATGTGTTGAAACTGATACTGACGATCAACAAGCTGGTACAAACGATGAAGGTCAGTAAATACATGTTCTAATTAAAACTAAGAAGTGCATTTACTGAGAATAAATAAAACAGGTTTACATAAATGTGTTATTCTCCTCATTTCTGTTGTGGCTATAACAGCCTCCTCCCCAGTCCATCACTTCGAGAACTATCCTTTGCTGTGTGTCTCATCCAGCAAGACATTTCTTGAGATGGATGTTTTCTTTTCTTCTTTGCAAAACAGCTCAGTCAATTTAAATTTAGATGATCTGCAAACATGAATTACTGTCTTGTCTAATCTTTTATGTAGCTAAATTCACCAGGTCTATGCTAGAGATAAAATGGACAGATTTTTTAGTACCTGAAGTTATGGTGGGTAAGCAGCTAATGCTGGGTGAAGCAAAATGCTCAAAAAGAAGGACCTTTGACCAAAGTTATGGCAGAAAAACTTACAATTGTTTTGTTTAATAGTATAATTTTCAATATTATTTAATACTTTGTTCAAATTAGTTTACAAAACTGTGAGCTAATCTGTGTTGGTTTGTCACACAAAATCCTAGAGATATAGAATTTTATTTTTGTTCTTGCAAAATGTATAAAAAGTTGAAGGGATATGAATACTGTTGCTTGACCTCTGTTGCATTCCCTCTATTTAATATATCTGTGGTTTTGGACTTACTGTTAAAACTTAGCAAGTATTAACATTATAATTTTAAAGTCATGGAAATGAATTCAGATTTATTGTTTTTGACTAAAATAAGATAACAGACTTTCTTTTTATAACCAGAGTCCAACCTGGAGAGGCTTTTGGAGGAACTGGGATTGGACCAGTTTCTACAAGGAGAAACTGTCACTGGGGAAGATACTGGAGATCAATGAGAAGACCATCAATGATGAGCCTCCAGAGTGGAAATCAGATCTTCCATGGTATTGTTTAAAGAAACTGATGATGGTGAATGTAACAGCTAGAAAGATAAAATCAGTTTCATGTCAAACCAAGACAATGAATTAGAACCTGATGAATTAAATTTTTATGATGTTCTTACCAGTTCAAATGAGGATCACTCTCTAAATCCTCTTGATATAATCACTGCTCTCTTTCTGTGTTCTGATGGGTTTGTTCACAAGAACTGGCTCTAAAAATGTCCATGTGTCAGTTCTCTGTTCCTCTGCTGCTTCCTAACTGTGATACACAGCAGTGCACCCTCATGCTGTGGGCCATGAGAGACATTGTTAAGAAGTACAGACCTTCAGATCTTGCAGAATCAAAAGGCTTCATGGAAGAAAGAATAGTTCTTTCTGAACTTCCAATGATCTCATTTGTGAGACTGGGTGAGTGCTCTCTGTCCAAATCTGAGATCCTCAATAAACTTCTGAGTAACTCTGAGCAATACCATGACACCTTTGTTCACCGTGACATGGAGTGTGGAGACAGTCCAAGAAGAATATCCAATGGACTGACTGAACTGACCTGGTACCTTCCCTGTGGAAACAAAAACATGGACATCTTCAGTGAACCAGTTGCTATAGCTAACCTTCGTGGAGACATTGCTTCATTTGAAACTCAATTCTCCTTTTTGTGTCAGACATCTGCTGCAGTTTTTGTTTTCTTTGACCAGCTGGACTCTGACTGCAAACTGCTGATGAACAAAAACCACAAAGCAAAGATTTTTTTTAGTAGGAAACAAACAGAGCAAGAACTTCAGAGTTGATTCTGTTCAAAAATTGGCAACAAGTCTGGGCTTGAAGAAAAATAATATTCTAATAAAAACAAAACAAACATATGAACAAGATTTTGTCAAATTACTGAGGAAAAGAGTCAGTGATGTAATTAATAAGCCAGAGAAGAAGATGTCTGTAGAGCAGATGGCTGATGTTGCACATGAACTTGGAATCAAAGTAGATGAAGATTCTCCAGAGTGTCAGGATGGAAAGAAAAAGCTGATGAAATCACTGCAAAGATTAAAGACATAATGAATACAAAGAAGATCAACTTCCATTACAAGGTCAAATATGGAAGGAATTGACTTGTTTGGAAAAGGAAGAATTTCGTCTTCGAAAAGTTGGTTCAGAAAACATTGAAAATTACAAATGTAAACTTCAGAGCGAGAGAGAAAAACTGAGGAAAGCAAAATAATTCTGCAATGTCCAAAGCAATGACCTGCTTCATTACTGCAATATCCAGCCAACAAAGAGAAAGGTGTTACTTTCTGAAATGGATGAATGAACCTTGACAACTTGTCTCGAATCAAACTTTCTGGCCTCAGGGAGCTTTACAAGGAAAAATGCAAAGATTCTAAGAACAAAGAGAGATAAAAAAAATTGACCAACAACTTTCAGCAGCTCACTGGGAGTTGAGCACTTCTTCCGTGAAATGGGTCAGATCTATGAAGCTTCTCTTTACCTTCCAAAAAACAGATCCATCACGTCAACAACTGCAACATCTGCCCAAACTCTGTGCTCAGTTGTTGCTGGATGGATTTCCTATTGAGCTTGTAGATGGAGATGCTTCCAACATTCCTCTCAGATGGGTGAGTGATGTTCTCTCTCAGTTCAATGACTTGGTGTCTCCAAACAACAAGATACGGGTCGTCACAGTTCTTGGAGTTCAGAGCACAGGGAAGTCCACTCTCCTTAACACCATGTTTGGAGTCCAGTTTGCAGTCAGCAGTGGTCGATGCACTAGAGGTGCCTTCATGCTGCTCATCAAAGTCAATGAAGACTTGAAGAAAGTTCTCAACTGTGACTTCATGATGATCATCGACACTGAAGGCTTAAAGTCACCAGAGCTAGCACAGCTGGACAACAGCTATGAGCACGACAATGAGCTGGCAAACACTTGTTGTTGGGCTGAGTGACATCACCATTATCAATATTGCCATGGAGAATTCAACAGAGATGAAGGACATCCTGCAGATAGTGGTGCATGCTTTCCTCAGGATGAAGGAGGTCGGTGGCAAAAAGCCTCAATGTCAGTTTGTTCACCAGAACGTTTCTGATGTTTCAGCCCATGAGAAGAACCTGAGAGACAGGAAGCTGCTGTTAGAACAGCTGGATGAGATGACCCAGGCAGCAGCTAGAATGGAGAAGAAAGAGGAATACAAGAGCTTCACTGATGTGATGGAGTATAATCCAGACACTGGGAACTGCTACATTCCTGGACTCTGGAATGGAAACCCACCAATGGCTCCAGTCAATGCAGGATACAGTGAGACTGTCTATGAACTCAAGAAAAACATCATCCAACAGCTGGGAAAGTGTGGCTCAACTTCTAATGACATCTTGAAGTTCAGAGAGTGGATAACCAGCCTGTGGAACGCAGTAAAACATGAAAACTTCATCTTTAATGACAGAAACAGCCTGGTGGCTGATGCTTACATGAGGCTCTGCACAGAGTACAACCAATGGGTGGGAGTTCAAAAAGGAAATGTACAAATGGGTTACCAATGCAGAGACAAGAATTTCTAATTTTGGTTCATTTACTGGAACATATGCAATATCTGACATGAATGAATTTATCACTAATTTGAAAAGTGAAGCAATCACAGAGCTGATCAAGTGGGAGACAAAGATCCTTGAAAACCTGAAGAAATACTTTGAGCAGCCAGAAGGTCATGTTTATCTGGCTGAAGGATACAGAGAGGATTTCTCCAACAGCATCAAGAGTCTTCGACGAGAAACTGAAAGATCAATGTTCAACCAGATCACAGCAGCTGCTGATATTAAGAAGGGATTGAAAGAACTTGAGAAAATCAAGGCCACTTATAGAGAAAGAATTGAGAAAGCAGTTTGTGATTTAATTGATGAATGTCGTAAGAAAAAAGTTCAAATGACTGACAGAGAGCTTGAAGAAAATTTTAATAAGATGTGGACTGAAACACTGAACAGTTTGTCTTTTTCTAAACAACAGACTATAAATATCTTCACCAGTGTTTCCCATCAGTTACGAACAAATCTTTCACACAAAGGAAGCCATGCATGTGAACTGCTGAGTGAAAAAAACCTCAAATACTGTGGACTGGAGCCTTTTACATACACAGAAAAGGGATGGAGAAGCCAAGTAAAAGGATTCTTTACAAATCATAAAACGGAAAGAGAATTGACTGACAGCATCATCTCTGCTTGCAATGACTCTATTACTGATAAAATCAAGAGAAAAACTAACTATCATGATACCTACATCCAGGAGATTCTTCACATCATTGACGAGAGGCTGAACAAAGCTGATGTTGACACAGACATTGAGTTTGAAGTGTCTCTGAAACAACACATCTGTGGATCTGCAGCCAGAAAGTTTCAGAAAATGCATGAAGATTTTATCCAAGAAAATGATCCTTATAAATGTCTGCAGAAAAACAAAGAAAGGTTTTGCACAGATTTCAAAGATGTTTTCCACAAACAAGATCAATACCAGAAAAAAGCTGAAGAATTCACAAATCACTGTCTGAAACCTGCTGTTGAAAACTTCATCTATTCTTCTCTTGGTCTTGATATTGTTGATAAAATGATGACAAAAGAGGAGTTCAGCACACGAAATGTCCTTCCAGTATTACATTTTACTGGATCTGATCTCAAAAAGTGACTTCGTAAGCTTTCTGGGCTACATTCGCTCATATAAATATTATGTAAAATCCTGGATCTCTGATAGAATAAAGAAGTATTTCTCCTCTCAGTCTACAATTTGTGAGTTTGAGGACAAACATCTTAAGTTTTGCATCAACCACATAAATGCTGCCATTAAAAAGGCAGAAACAGAAAAGACTGACAGTCTGAAAACATTTGTTGTCAAGATCTGCACAGAACTTGGTGACAAACTGGTAATTTCCCAGGATGCTCTTGATGCCTTCACGGTTCTGAACAATGCTGACAAGGAACAGTTTGGTCACTGGCTCAGCAAGAGTGTGGAGGAAATGAAAGAAACTCTTAGAGGAAAGTTTAAATCAACAAAGTTTGAAACAAAACTCTCACAGCTCCACATAAAACCAGAGAATGAGCTTTTTACCAGAGTGATTGGTTGTTGCAAACAGTGTCCATTCTGCAAAATACCCTGTGATGCAGGTGGAAAAGCCCACTCTCAACACTTTGCTTCTTTGCATCGACCACGGGGTTTAGTTCAGTTCAGTCGGGAATACTCAAATAAACTTCCGACTGAGATCTGCTCCTGTCTTGTTATCGGTGACAAATATTTTTGCTGCAGTGACACAAATGGTCAATGGCATCCTTACAAAGAATACAGGAAGATTTATCCAGACTGGACTATTCTTCCAGATTATATCCTTGAGGCGTCAGATTATTGGAAATATGTGATGACCAAATACAACAAGGAATTTGCTGAAACATATGATGCTCAGCCTGCTGACATTCCTGATGCTTGGAAAAAAATCACAAAGGAACAGGCAAAGGAAAGCCTCAAGGAGTCGTTCTACATCAAGTGAAATTATGTTCAAACAACTAACCATGTATTATAAGTTTTTTGCATGTAGGGTATTTTGATCCTTTTTTCTTCTTGCTTTAAACCCACCTCTTTTACACATGTATTTTGTCTTGGAATAAAGGCAAAATTAACTGCTCAAGCCTCTTTTGCTATAGTTCCTTATTTTTTTAAATTGTTCAGTTATAATAGCAATTCACCATTATTGTTCTACTTTTCATCAAATTTAGTTTGCAAATTATTTTTTTGAAAATTTTTGCACTTGTTTGAAAAATGGTCTGAAGTTGCTGTACTGCATTAGATGAATAGAGGATGAGTTATACGATTAACCTAATTGTTTGTCATTGGTGAATTGATGCTATAATATTCACAGGTAAAGCCAATGTGAGCGTAACTGCACTCATTTATGTTTGGTCAAATTAGAATGTATTTATGTGACTTAAAATCAGGCTTTCTGATGTGGTTGAACTGATTACATTTTTCTATCAAGAAGTAGCATCTGTTTGGTATTTTAAATGCCTTTATATTACATTTGCTGTGAGTCAGCATTATATCAAAACGCTAAACTGAATCAAGCTTGATGTCGGGGTCTTTTTATTTTAGTTTTTTGCTAGATGGGTTTATCAATCTTATAAAAAAATCTGATCAATATTTTATGTCAAACACTCTAATAACATCAGACTTCACCAGATACGGTATTTTGTCAGCATAAAATGTATTTGTACAATTATTTTTGATGCAATCTCAAGAATTTTGGCTTCACCTATGTTTTGTTTTGAGTCTTATATTTTCAGTTGTTCCTTTGCTTTGATATTTAGTTTTGTATTATCAATGTTCATTTGAATCTTCTTCTTCATGGTATTGGTTACTCCATTGTGTGTATTGTTTATTTTGTTGTTTCACTTCAGCTTTTTGCTTTTCCTCTACTTCCATTCATTGTTTCATTTTTCTCACCTAAAATAAAAATGTGACAGATCACACCTCCACTTCATTCAGCTCTCAGACTTTTTTGTTCATTGCTGGAGTTTGATGTTACTGTTAAATTTTCCCTTGAGGTCTTACTTGGTTGTAATTAAATTTCCACCAAACACCTGCCTTCATCCTGTTGTTTTTGGGTAGTACTCTTCAGTATTCATCCTTTAGGTAAGGTGACGATTCTTTATATAAAATTATAAGGGATTTCAGCCCATTTAACAAAAGAAAAATATATTGATAACTAACTCCTCAGTTTCTAATAAGAGTTCTGGTAGTATTTGTCAATTTAGTTGTATATAATTACATATAAATTCTTAACATAAATATGTAACCGATACCTGCACACATTAATTTTGTAGTTTAATAGTTAGCGCTGCATCTGCCAATAAACTTTTTTTCCAGCTTTTAACTACCAGAAAGCAATTAAACGACAAAATAAATGTATAAAAAAATGCATGCTACGGTCTGACTACACATCTTTCTAACCTAAATCTGATAAAGTGAAGATGCTGGAAAATATGAGTAACAACTACTGTATTTGTGTCAAGTTAGTCAGTTAGTGGTATTCTGCTATGTAGAGGTCAAGGGCAACACCATAATTATTTACTACATTCACAACACATGTTATTAAAATCCTAATCTGACAAAACAAAATATACTAATATATATATATAGATATATATGTAAATGACCCACTAAACAAATCGATCACTTGAAATACTTGGTAGAACTTGACACCTTAACACACATGATCTTCCCTTCCATGACGAGGCAGAAATAAAGGAAAAACAAAAGGCACAAAAATATAAAAAGAACCTCTGGAAGTGAAGAGGCTTATTGGAAAAACAATCTAGAAAAGAAGTTAAAAGTTAAAGCTAAATAAATGCTTCTATGAGCAAAATAAAAAGTGTACAAAAAAACCCATAGTTATTAATTACATTAGAGCTTAAAACTGAGCTGAAAAAATATGGATGTCAAATTATAAAGCTGTTTTTAAATTAACTTAATTACTGGTACTTTTTATGTATTTTATTATTATTTTGTGAAATATCCCGACAGCTTTCAAATTTGTTCCAGTTCTGCATTATGTCAAAAATAAAAAGACAGACTGCAGTCTGGCTATGAATGTCTTTAATGTTTCCCAGATCAGAATCACAGCATACAGTGTATAATAACTTCTAAAGTAACAGAAATATCATCACCTCATTTATTTATATGATTTCACTTTCCTTTTTTAATCTTTTTTTATTTTCCATTATTTAACAGATTTGTTCATCTCAAGTCTTGGGTTTCTGAATTCTACATAGAACATAAAATGCAAGACAACAGGTGCAGATTATTGAATATTTGTTGGCTGTTTGTGATTTGATGCCTGTCTGAACTGATACAAGATCCGACCTTATATAATGTTCATTTTCTCATCAACCTTCCTGCTGCATCACTTCACTAGGAGGAATTTTAACTACAACAAACCGACGCAGTGACAGAAATCAAAAGGTTGGACCACCTCTGTGATCTCATGAGGCATCAGATGGTGTTAAAGCCCTAACATGTTTCCCACACATAAATCAGCAGCTACATGAAACACCGCTACATGACATAATTATATTTTATGGAGTGAATTTGTTTCTACAGGACTGTTTGAAATTGGATCAAATTAGTGAAAAAAGGTCAAGTCTATAGGTGCTGTTTCACTTTAAAGTCATAATAATTCAGAAGTTAAAAGGGTTCAGTGGTTAAATAAAAATAATCTCATGCAGATATTTCAGAGTTGGACTATTTTGTCATGTTTTCAGGATATTTGGGTCTTTGTTGTGTGAGGCTTTTATTAAAATTCTGCTACAGAAACTTTCCTGATTCAGGCTGAATCATGATGCTACAGCATATCTACATGATGATGTTCTGTCAAAAGTTTAAAAACTAAATCTTTTCCTGCTGATTGTGAGTAAATACACATTTCCTTGCTTTGATTTGTTTTAATTGCAAACTGCACCTGTTGTCTTTTGTTGTCACCAAATAAGCATATCATTCATCCACCCAAAAAGAAAAAACAGAGAAAGAAAAAAAAACAAGAAACTTAATATTTACAAATTTCATCTGTTTGATTCTTACACTTAAAAATGTACAGTTTTGATCCTGATCCAGATGTTGTGTTCCTCCATCGATCCTCCCACCAGGACTGTTTGTCTTCAGTTCCTCTGGACTGAATGAAATCTGCCACAATGGCGCCCTCTAGTGCCAACATATAAAACAAGCCACCACATCCAGGACAAACGTTTTCCTCCCAGCTGCTGCAACACCAGATGGACTTCACAACCTGTTACCCTCCTCCTTTGTCCACTGGAGGGACTACAAAAGAGTCCATATTTTGACAGATTAGCAGGTCGTCCCTCTGCAGTCTGTCAATGTTTTTAATCTTCTTTTGATCAGTTTGTTTTCTCTTCTGGTTCAAATGTCAACATTTAAGGCTGTGCGAGTTTTTCTTCGTCCTCCTCTTGGCCACAGCGTGTCCTTATATCTTGTTGGCTCCTGATCTGCAGACTTTGTCCAGTCGTGTGATTTGCATTGTGCACATTTCCTGTTCAGTAGTTTATAAAATCTCAGCTGCTTGTCGCGTTGACCCGTTTCCATCCCTCCCCGACCACCAGGCAGTAAGAAAACGGAAAATAAAAGCAAGTGAAAGCTAGCGCATGTTCAAGGACAGCGACGGTGACTCCTGTCAGCCATATTGCATGTTAGCTACCATGTGTTCCTGTTCTGCTAACGGGCCCATAATGCATGTTTGACATCTTCATCTTGAAAAGCAGAGCTGGAAAATGATATATTCCTAAACTAACAGAAGGAGAACAATTAGAAACAACAGACATCAACTGTGTTACCTTTACCCTGTTGAGAAACTCCTTCGTCTCTGCAGCTCTGCACTGCAGGCCGTAAAACCCGCAAAGTGCGCCTGAAGCTACACCGGATATTCAGTGGAGATTACTGAATTTATACTGATAGGAAAATATGTTTGTCAAAAATATTAACGAGGTGAGATGAGTTAACTTGCTTATCTAAAAAGTAGTTCTGATATCATCTGTGTAATTTAATACTTCATAGGCACAGATCAACTGTATGCATAATTAATGATCTCTTTCTTTACATTGTTAAAAATAAATACATTTGGGAACCCAAACTACTGACATAAACCAGCTAATGTTGGAATGCATCGTCTCAGGTTGAACTAATGCAAAATTTACCTTTAAATAATAAAACGGTGTGATGAGCTTTGTTGCTTTAATTGGTGGATTATCTATGATTTGTGGCAAATTCCCATTTTAATGAATTTGGGAGAATTTTATGAGCTGAGAAATATTTAATTTGGACTAAGAAGTGGGAAAACGTGCGGCGACTGATTCTCCGTCCTTTCTCCATGTTGCCTTTCTTGAAAAATAATTCATGCATAGATCCCCATTGACAAAACCCCCTTTATATTCTTTCCTTTGTACACATTTATATAGAACTATATATAATATCATTTCTCTATAACTATATTGTCAGCAAAAATCTTTCCACATTAAAACACTTGAACAACAACAAAAATAAACAAGATGAATGAAAGAAAACCACAATCAAAGGCCAGTTTGGCACTTGGTCATGAGAACATACAGCTGTTATCAGACAGGGATTGAAATTCATTTCAGCCTTGATCAGAAAGCAAAAAACACATTTGGCACGAACCGTGTTGGTCGACTGAAATGACGTTACTTCTGACATCTCAGTACGTTGTTGCTCCTTAAAGCAAAGAAGCACCCGAAGGAGGGAGAAGTCGAATGAGCCGTAAATAAGACACAGATGTAGAAAAGAAACAAATAAGAAACTTCACACAACACTCTAGAAGACAGTAAAAGCTGACACCAAAGTAAAAAAGAGAGAACATCAAAGGTCCAAAAGCGTTTGTCCCTTTGAAAATTTCTTTAGATTGGAAACTGTGCACCCTCCTGGAAAAAGGTATGTCTGAAAGATCGACGTCACCTCCGAGCTGATCGTCTGCTCCAACGCAGTTCATTATGTCTCCAAGCTGTACAGCACATGATGGAGGAGGTGGAGTTCCTTTTTGAGAAACGAGAGAATGTAAGAAGAGAATGAAGGCCCTCAACCACAGGCCTCCCTTCTGATTCAGTAGGAGATCCAGTACTCCCTGTGTTTAGGTGGTGCTGGGTGGGCCAGTCCCTACTATACCCTGGTGGTGGAGTGGGGGTGTGGCAGGGTGTTGTTGTGGCCGGTGGAAGGGAAGGTGTTGAAGGCATGAAGAGGCTGCATGCTGGTGATGGTGCTTGGGATCATAGTGATGGTATTGGGCGTCATCAACGGCACATCGTCCGGAGCCCGGCGCAGCGCCAGCGTGTAGTCGGGCGGGCAGGCGGGTCGCAGGATGTCATGTGGTCGAAGGGGCTCCAGGTCGTGGTGAGCGTCGTGCTCAGAGTGCTTCATCTGCAGGGACATGATTTCCTCCTCCTGGCTGTGAGCGAGGTCATTGGCGGGAACGCCGCGCTGAGGAGACAGTCGGTGCCGTCGCATCTCGTGCCGTTTGTCGCGTTTGTAGTAAAGGGCCGCGAATGCCAGGATGTTGAGGAACAGAAGAGAAGCTCCCACAGCCACCGTGACACTCAGCTCAGTGGAGTAGTCACGGGTGTCTCCAGGAAAGAGGTCCTGGATTGGACGGTCCGAGCCCTCGGTTTCAGGATCAGAGGTGAAGGTTGAGTAGGGGTGGGGAGTGGTTCGAGGACCTGGAGTCCTTGGCCTGGGTCTATAGGTGTCTGGGCCTGGACCAGGACCAGACGGTGATCGGGTTGTGGTGGGGAAGATCTCATGTAGGCTATGAAGATGGGGGACAAGTTCCAGCCAGAAAGCCACCTTGTTCGCCCTGTAGTTGTCCCGAACTCGAGGTTTTAAGCCAATATGGAGATACTGCTTGTCCTTTGGGTTGAACTTTGTCCAGATGACCTCTTCAAAGCGGTTGGGTTTGGTGTGAATGAACTTCGTGTCTGAGGGACGGGGAGGTTGGGGTCACTGATGGAAAACGAAAAGAGAATCATTGATTAATGTGAAAAGGCATTGGGAATGTTTTGGAAACACACATGAATGCTTCACTAAAGATCCGGTTACAGCAACCCTGTTTAATTCAACTTAACAAAACTCTCGTTTGCTTGAATAGAAAGTCTGGTTCTTTTGGGTAAGTGTGAAGATGCACTATTGGTCTGATGCAGATCAAAAACAAACTATGGTTTAATCTAGGACTCTGTTTGATTAAAGTGAACTATTGAGTGGTTTGACTGCATATTTGAATGCCAAACGAACTGGAGACCGTTCCAAAAGCAGGAAGTTGACTAAAACGCAGGGCATTCTGGGTAAATACAACCAAAACAAACGTATGAGTTGTGAATGATATGTAACAAACACCATAGTCTGTTGCAATTTTGGTCTACAGAACTATCAGGTGTGAAAACATGCTAAAAAAGACCAATGTATCAATAACTACTGACTGAAGCAGAATAAAATATGTCAGGTTGAAATGAAACCTACCCAGTTTTGGCAAAGTTAGTCCAGTAAGTCATGACCACAGCGCTCAGCATCACGTCATTCTTCGAGAAGTTGCACGGGAACAAGTCAGTGGCGCCGATCATCGGCACGCCAAACACGTACGGTATCTCATCTCCGTGTGCGGCATCGGCCCATTCGGGTCGCGTTTCTGTCTGGCAGTGGTGGTAAAATGTGTAGAAATAGACAGGCGACTGGAACTCAGCGTGAAGTTTAGCAGTGGCCACAGCTGGCGCCACCCACTGGTGGTCTGTGAACAAAGCCAGGAGAGTCTTTCTTCTCATGTCACCATTGTCTCTGTCTGCCCAGTCTGTGTACATGAACTTTATGGTTTCTCTCAGGATGTCTTTGCCTGCAAGAAAACAGGAGACAGAGGAATTGAGAAATGTGATCAAGAAAGCTGAGGTAGAGAGAAACCGTGTGCATTTTAATTAGACACATTTCTAACAAACTAAGAAGTAGAAATTCTCTAAAATGCATTGAAGTGTGTGGCTGTAATGTGGCAAAATTCGAATAACCTCAAGGATTGTGAATAATTTTTGAAGGCACCGTATGTTAAAAGGCGAGACAAAGGGAACAGAATTTGCCTTTCAGATCCCACAATGACTGACGAGAACTTGAGGAGCTGCATTATTCAACGTGTGTATTTGGTCTGCGGCTTGCTGCGAGGTTTGCAGGTTGAGCTGTTGGGAACAACAGCACTGTGATTGGGAGACGGTGGCTGCCTGGGGGCTGATGAGCGACAGCATTAGTGCCCACAGAGCCCCAAAGGCCAAAGCACAGACCCACCGCGGTGAAAGATAATCTCCATGATAGGCGATCTCATTAGCATGCTTGTCTTCGCTGGTACACTCCGCCAAACTCGCTTTTTTTTTTTTCCCATTTTCTTGCTCACTATTGTTTGAAGATGCACACTTCAATGGGGAGCTGTGATTCTGAGGTGCTTGATGTGTTTTCTTTATGCTCAAGACTAGATCTCTGCAGGAGTTTATATAAAACAGGATGATGTGGAGAGAGATTTCAAAAGTTGACAGATGTTCGTGGTCGAGGTTCCTCACCTTCAGGATATCCGTAGAGATTGTCCACAAAGTTAGAGATCGTGTAGTCGAACGCTGCAGCAGAGATGCCATCGTTGTCCTCGCTGTCGTCCACAAATTTCAGTCCTTCTCCCTGGTTCACACCTATGAGGATGTCATAGTTGAGGAACTCCCCCTAGTGGCACAACAACAGAATTACAAGTTTTGTAAACACATTTAGATGAGACCAGAACCTGTAGTTGTTATTAAAGGTGCTGCGATGCTTCCCCCCCACCCCACTCACAAATTTCTCCTTCAGTGCAGATTAATTCCACATTTTAATTATTGTTTATAAATGTCAGCAAATGTAACACCTTTCAGACGTCCATCATAAAATCAGCAGGTGAGAAATTAGTTTTTCTGCTTTCACATAAAAGGCTGACGTGGCAAGAAATGTTTTTTGTTTTGAGTTTCTTATTTTGTTTCACTTTTGAATATTAATAGGCTCTGGATAATCACCTTACTTTCCTACTTGAACAACTTACATCTATCTCCAGTGAATCGTCACTAATCTAATCTTCTGGATTATATTTCTTAATTTTATTAACTTTTAATTCCTTACTTCTTTTTCTTACTAATAATTAATCATTTAATTAGATCATTTTAATCATTTCATTGTGTTTTTCTTGTGATTTTTCTGTTTTTAGCATCTGTAAAGCACTTTGTATTACACATGTCTGCAAAGAAAGTGCTGTTTAGAAAAAGTTTGAATAATTTAAAAAACATTTTTACTACTAAATGTTGACAATGTTATCTGCTTTCATAAATATTGGATGCAAATGAACAAATAAAATGCAGCTTTAAATCTTTTTTTATATTTCAATTTTGTTTGTTCATCTCTAAACGTACAAATTATCAATTAAATAGTAATAAAACTGAAGAATAAAAGGTTATTTGCTTAATAAAACATCTTAATGCATTTAAGTCATGAGAGATTTACCGTTTCACAGGAAAACTGTGAAACGAGCCACAATAATAAATTTTCTTGGCTGATAAATTGTCCCAGAAATTATTGCAATACGATAATATTGTTGATTTTTATTTCATTTTCAAGAAAAATTTTGATTTTGACGAAATATTTCAATTTTGGCCTCTCAAAGCACTACAAAGCTTAACTTTGTAAAGAATACTTCATACTGGAACTGGAAGATATTTAAATATCCAAATAAAACAATCAAAAACAGTAAATTAATGGAAATAAAACACACATACATCAGAAGTCATAAATAAAAATAGTTATAAAGTCTTTGGAAACAAAATTGCCCTTCACAAAATAGTAATCATCAGATTTGAAACCATGAAGCTCGTTTTATTTTATCACAGGTTTAACTGTCGCCTGCACAAGCCGAGTTATTTTTCTCTGACCAACATGTTGCTTCACAGCAGCTGCTAAGTGTCACAGCCTGACCTGTAACTGCGTGAAAAGGTCACATCCACACCTCTCTGCGACTTCTCAACTTCCTCCAGAGCCACTCAGACCATGATGAGGTCGTCGTCTGACCCTCACCTGCTGCATGAGGATCTCCGGGTCGTCCGGCACCACGTCTCCGTCCACCACGGGGCCGAAGGCGATGTGGTAGCGGGCGGGCTGGATGTCCTGGTCCACCAGCTCCCTGAAGGTCTTCCTCCTCAGGCAGTCCACCAGGTCGGCGGTCTCTGAGTAGGTGCAGCCCACCTTCTTGGCCAGGTTCTTGGTGTATTTCAGGGCTGGTAGTTGACGGACCAGCTGGAGATGGCTGTGCCGCTCTGAGCAATGGCCCGATGGAACAGACCTAAATGGACGAGAGTGAAAAAGGGCATTCATGTTCTGCCTTTCTGAAGGTTTTGGACTGTATTCTTTGGTAGTGATGCAAACAAAAATAAATATTTTTTCAATAATCTCTAAAGAAATATAAAATCTGAAAGATTTCCATTCTAAAGCAGAATACAGAACTGCAGCAAAGGACACTGAGGTAGGAGTGGGAACAAACTCTTCCCATAAGTCAAAAGATCCATTTTAACTTTCTTTTCTCTCCTTGCCTTAATTCTCCACCTCCCTGCTTCAGTCTCTCCCTCCGGCTCCTCAGTTCTGCCCATCCTGAGCTGTTGAAGCCAGTCGAGTGGCTCGTTAAGGGGCCGCCTGCCTCTCCCGTTTCCTCTCAGGCCCGCTCCTTTTTCCTTTCCCTCTCCTCTCCAGGGCTGAAGATTGGTCAGTTAATTATTAAGCAGAGCGGCAGAGTCTCCTTTCCCTCAGAGATCAATTATAGTAAGAAGTAGCAGGGAAACAGCTACACCTACATGCATATCTGCTTCAGGAGTGGCAGAGGGAAAGAGCAGGGAGACAGCTATATTTTATTAGTCCTTAAGATTGGCCTCGGTTATGCTACTTTATTTGGCGTCTTGTCTTTTCTCATTTTTCCCCCTGTTCTTTATCACCTGGGTACTAATTGGCAGATTCTTCCATAACAAATATGGAGCCATCAGAATCTGATCTTCCAGTCAAGGAGAGAAATCAACAACGGAGCATCCTGGACAGGTCAGCAGTTCATCGCAGGGCAACACAAACACAAGAGACATGCAACCATGAACACACAAACCTGAGGATAATTAGGAGAAATCATCTGACCTAACAGTGATGTTTGTGAACTGTGGGAGGAAACCGGAGCACCCGGAGAGAACCCACGCACGCACAGGGAGAAATTACAAACTCTACGCAGAAAAGCCTCAGGCGGGGATTTTAAACCCGGGACTTTTTTGCATCTACAGTATTATTTTTGCACACTTCAAGTCTCAGGCAAGTAGACAAACCAGTGATACAAACTTTTCACAATCAATATGGCAGCAATGATGAACCCTCTTAGTTACTGATCAATAATTGTGACACAGTTAATTATAGTTTTGGTGTATTTGACCTGTAAGTTGTTAGAAGAGGTACCAAAAATAGATAAAAACAATATATGTGCTGATAATTACCTCTGCATTATTGATCTGTTATTTAATAGACAAAGTAGAAGTAGTTGCTCCAGTCAGCAGTAACTGACAGTAACGACGGTTTTAAGGAATCTGATCTGTTGTGAAGATGATAGTATGTTCATTCGTTTGAACGGCCTAGTTAAATCCTATTGAGTCTATGGCAAACACAAATGTCGGTTTCTAGATGTGTAAACCTACATAAAAAAACTTTTATTTGTAATTGTACAAAGTCAGAGGCTACATGCAAACTGACTCCAATTTCATGCTACTTTGTGTTGGTTTTCTGCCTAAGATCCCAAAAAAATGTATGAAAGTTTTGTGACAAAATATGTAAACATGCAAATCCTTCTGCAAGGCACCGATGCTCATTTTCTCCATCCTCTATCTCTGCCTCTCATCACATAATCAACATTACGAAGCGTTGCCTTCATCACCGCCCTGCTGTCAAGTTTGATCTGTGAGAACCTGTTGCTGACATGATCGGTGTCCTTTAATGACAGAATGACGGACTCCTTACCTCGGATCCGTGACGGAGGGGGGAAGGAGAGGAAGGATGACAGACAGACGGCTTCTAGTGAGCTGATGTTACACCGATAGATGCTGATGAAGAGGAAGGTGATGATGATGAGGTGACGCCAAAGCAGAGGGATGAAGACAGACAGTGACAGCGGGTTGGTTGTCAGCAACAAAAGAAACAGGGTTAATGTTGGTGGTTAAAGGGTTAATTCAATATAAAATCGATAAAGGACAAAATGCAGAGTGAACATTTCAGGTTTCAGTCTAAACATAAAGACAAAAGGAGCGAAGAAGAATTTAGAAATTGATTTCTTTCTTATTGCAAGTAACACAAGAAGCTCAGAAAGTCATAAAATATCCTCAACACCTCTAAAAGCTACCTAATTAACACATAACTTGTGAAAGTCTATGTATAAAACCAAGTTTTAATGAAGCACATTCAGAGATTTAAAGTGAATTTTTAAACTTCCAAGACAAGCTGCTGACATCCCTGCTGTCTCTGTGTGTGAAATCAACGCCAAGATCAAACTGCACAAACTTTATTTCTTCTCCCAGTGATTCTTTGTTATTGTTTTATGCAGTAAATGTGATAATGACCCAATTAGGACGGCTTCATAAATGCTAAGCAGATTACAGTTAATTACAGTTTATGATTTTGTGTTTGAACTTTATAACTTCAGGCATGAAATTATGTTTTCAGTCATTTGGGAACATTGTGGAAAAAATTCCCTCTATGTTGTTTTTATTTAATATCAGGAAAACAAATAATTTGTTTTTAACACTGGAGTCGTGAAGCAGCAGCAAATTAGAACATTTAAGAAAATTTACTGTGGATTTTCACTCGTCTGTGCTTTGGTCAAAATTACACACCCAGGCTTAAATATACATGCAAACCCCAGTTCAATTCAAACATGTTTCTCCAGAAGGCATTTAATGCGTCAATGTGGCTAGTTGCAAATTTCATTTAACTTCAGGTCTTTCTGTGTTGATCTCAGGTCACGTCGATATTGAAACCACTTGTGAATCGACCGATTTCCTTTCATCTAAACGCGACGATTTGAATGTTCGGACAGGACGACGACTCTGAACAAGCATCAAAACTGATGAAGCTGCCTGACTAGAGACCTCTGGAAAATTTGGTTCATGACTGGAAACCAGGAAGAGTCGTTAAATATTCAGAAAGAATGTGATCAAACTACAAAATGCATTAATGGCATTAATGAATATATTTGAGCCTTTAGATATGAATCATACCAATTGCAAAAGCCAGTTAACATCATGTTTAGCTTCATTTGCATTTCAGCTTCTCAAGCTCAGATATATGGAACTAAAAATCTGAGATAATTATCTCTATGTAAACTAAAACTGCTTTTATTTAACAATAGTAAAGATTTTTCCTCATCGCTGCAGCATGTTAGAAACCAGGTGCTGCATTAATTGTAGTTAAAAGTTAAGAAGTTAAGTTCCTGGATTAATTTGCTGGTTAACAGACATCAGCGGCTTCAGCGGCTCAGTCAAGCTTTCACAGCACATTTGTTTTCCAAGCACATTTACCGAGAATTAATTAGTCAAAAACAGAATGACTGCTCGGTGCTTGAGGTCCAGAGACACACAGAGAACCAGAACAGATGTGAAACTGCTTTTTCACATCTCTTTCTGTTCACCCACACTTCTGGCCTTTCCCGTTTGTGTGTGAGGCGGGAAAACGGGGCGAGAAGGCAGAGATATTCAGGGCGAGACCTCGAGCGATGCAGAGAACAGAGAAGCAACGATCTGAGGAGGACAGCTTCAAGAACGCCGTGATCAAAGGCGGCGAGTGCGTGGCCGTTTGGCCGCGGATTGTCAGCCACGCTGATCTCGGCTCAGATCAAAGCGGCCCGGTTCGCGGTTCTCTGTCCTCTGGTGAGGCTGCGTTAGCGCTTAGCCCCCGGGGTGTTTTGTGCTGGTAATGGGGAGCAGGAGGTCGAACACATGTAGGGTTTTGATGAAGGAAGGGCCTTCCTGCTGCACAACAGAAGCGTCGGCGAGGCAGGTAATGTGGGGTAATGCCGGCGCTCCCGACTCATTTATCTTCTGAGGATGTGAGCGACGCAGAGAGGATCAAACCTGCACGCGCTCATTAGGCACCCGGGAGCTCAAATCCGTACGCTCAAAGGACAAGCTGGGTGTTTTCTTTCAGAGAGTCAAGTGAGCCTCACAGGTTTTAACAGGTGACAGGCTGAAGCTGCCAATCTGCATAATTAAGATCTGTCTGTCTGTCTGTCTGTCTGTCTATCTGAGAGCTCAAATACAATCCAAAAACATTTTATGTCATCCTAATCTGTCATTCTTCTCTCTTTGGTTAAAGCAGCAGTATGTAACGTTTATTAAACAAAATGTTTTTCATTATGTACTGACAGTAAAACATAAGATAATCTGCAAAAACAAATTGATCTCCTCTGTTTTCTCCCTGAGTTTATATTACCATCTGAAGGAATGTACCAAAAACAACCAATCAGAGCCAGGAGGAGGGTCTTACTGCTGTCAATCAATGTGCTAATTACAGCCTTCCTTTGCTCTCTGCTAGGCTGCAGCTTCTCCCCGCTAGCAGAGGTTGCTATGAATGCTAAAGCTAGTTAGCATAACCACCAATGATGGCAGATAATCAGTTTTCTTGTCCTTCCACCATTAGCATATTGAGCAAAGTGTACATAGGTGTGATTGACGGCGCTAAGACCCTCCTCCTGTTTCTGATTGGTTGATTTTGGTGCATTTTTTTTTAGATGGCAGCAGAAACTCAGGGAAGAGGAGGATGGGATGGATCTTTTCACAGATTATCTGTCTCATGACTGTCCCAACATGATGACAGGTTTAAAAAATATGTAAAATCCATATTTTTACAAAACTCAATCAGTGCGACACAGTAAGCATCAACTTACCTTCAGAGTGGTGAGACAGGATGAGCAGGTTAACGCAGGAGGCCCCTGCTCCAGATCCAAAGATGGTGATCCTCTCGGGGTCGCCGCCAAAATGGCCGATGTTTTCGTTGAGCCAGCGCAGAGCCTGAATCTGGTCCAGCAGGCCGTAGTTCCCCTTTGCGGACTGATCGCCGGTGCTGAGGAAACCTGTTGGTTGAGAAACGGAAAAGTGGAAAAAGAAAGAGAAACAGAGAATTAACGATGCTGTTAGCTTTCATAATGTTTTCTTCATTGAAAGGTAAATCAGATTGTAGTTAAAACTGCAGAGCACAAGGAAAGAGTTAGACAAAACTTCAATTATCACTTCTAAACTCATTAAAAAAGAAAATAAAAAAACACTTTTACTTGACATTTCACAATTTTTCTACATTGGACAGTTTTAATCCTGAGGTCTTAGATAAAGTAAAAAATAAAAAAAACATCTAGAGCTGAATCAGTATTTAATAAATTAGAATATTCTGATACCTTTTGAAAATAACATCCTTTTCATTAAGCCCACATTTCTGTATTAAAAATGTCACATTTCTATTAGTTGTAAGTGTAAATGATCATATTTGACAGAAATAAATCCTTTTAAACATCCATCTGTATGTAATTAATCTTTGTAATGTGTTTCACTTGGCGATAAAGTTCCTGGAATATATGGACTTTTTAATAAGATCCTAATTTATTGAATGGGATGTAAAAAGCATCAATAAAAAACATTTGAGCTTTTTACTGCACAGTTAAAAGTAATAAAAAAGGAGCAGTAGAAACATTAACATGCTGAATATTTACTAAACGTTCATAACCTTATTTTTATTGGAATACTGATGACATCTTGTCTGTTTTCAGAAATATTTTAAGGATTTCCTGACGACGTTCAAGTCCAGAAAATCACACACACGATCCTGACTCTGCATGAATCGATGCACGTCTAACCCGAGCATGCTGACTCTGAACGTGACAGCTTTTCATACATCACTGCTGTTCACCTAATTAAACCCAGAAGCCTGCATGTTCTGCACCTCAGATCTCCATGACACGCTGTTCCCTCTGTTAGCTGATATTTGCCTCACTATTAAGTATCTTTAATTGTTCAACCAAAGACTTAGCTCGTCTCCACTTAGGTAGCAATTAACCGGCAGTCTCTGAATGGAACCTCTAATTAGAGCCTATTAAAGACAAGCATACTGGATAAGTTTTCATTAAGCCTAAACAATGGATGTTAAACACTTATAACAGACAAAGGTTAGGATATAAAAAAAACAGAGCACGTAAAGAGGGATACTAATTAGAGATAAAACCTTAAAAGCATCAACATCTATGAAATTACAGTAAAACTGGCTTAGATAATGTAACTAAATGTGACTTTTTGTCACTTTAATGTGAATTTATGGGTTAGGATGATACAATCTGATTAGTTGTCAGGTTTCTGTTTATCGAAGTAATTAAGTTGAGACCCAAAAACAATGAACTAGTCAGAATATAAATATATTAATTATCTTTTAGGAAGAACTCAATATTTCAGTGCATCGTAAATCTCGCATCCACACAGGATGTTAGAAAAGCTCTTTTTAATACTTTTTAAATAAATATGTGTAAATTATATTGTCTAAAGTGATATTAGTGTATTAAATTACTATATTCATGTTGGTGATTTAGTTAACACTGAAACTGGAAAAAAAAAATGTGCAGCAGATATTTATCAACTAGTATTTGTGTGAAAATGGCGCCACTGTGTGGCAAGACAAAGAATACTAAACGAAGAATGACAACTCTGAGTCAGAAATAAAATATATTATTAATATTAATATAATACAGGCGAAAAGTAGAGCAGTTAAACACAAAAGATTAAATAAAGAAAGATCTTATAAAATCTGTATTTTATATGGATTATATGGGCATAAAAGTAACATTTGAAGAAAAGTTTGATGTTCATGTTCTGCAGTCTCAATATTCCTTACAGCCTGATGAAATTATCTCAGAAACAAATAATAGATGGACTTCATCATCTGTTGTTTGAATGTTCATATTGTCTGTAACTGAATTTGACAATAAACAATAAGAGTTTGTCTAAGATTTATACACTTGGAGAGGAAAACATAAACGACCAAATGTTTTCCTCATCAGCTGAAGCCAAAATAACTCCAGTTTCTGCTTGTATTTATTGATCATTTCTGTATTACAGAACCAAAAGCCAACAAGGCGTTTATCAATGAGACTGGACCCTTTGGTGCTGCTCTTAAATTCCAGAACACATAAAAACAAGCAGCACATTGGGGTAAATTAATTAAAGGGAAGCACAAACACAGGGCGAATAAGCCGCTTTAATGCCCGACTGTAAACACCACAATAAATTAAACAACGGTTATGCTAAGTAGGTCATTAATTAGGGTGATTAATCTAAAAAACAGCAATACCACTGTGTCAGCGCCATGTTTTGAAGATAATACGGTGACCTGCTACTGAAACGTCCAGGTATGAGAGGATGGAAATACATAAATCTGTTTCTTATTCTTTTTGTGCAGCTTAATGACGCATTGAATGTTTTGTTCTCTGGGTGTTAATAGTTTTATTTCAGCGGACTGAAATCGTGCTCGTGTTGTTTCTCCTCCTCTCTCTTCGTCTGACAATAAGTCAGCGTGCGATGGCCTCCCCCTCCACGCCCCATAATCTGACGAAGGCTTGGGAAAAACGTGGAGGACGGGTTCAAGCACGGCGACGCGGCACGAAAACCCTGCTCTGCTTGAGTATTTAAAACCGGTGAGGAATGACGGGTTAGATGGGCGAGGCAGAGAGGAGAGATAAATAAAAGGAGCAGGCGCAGAGGACAGTGGGTGTTCTGTGACTCCCGGATAGAGGAGCAGTGTTTCATCTGCCTCCAAGACACCAGGGGTTGGCTCCAACACACACACACACACACACACACACACACACACACACACACACCCACACACACACACACACACACACACACACACATGCACACACCCACACACGCATGCACACGCAGGGATGCTGATCAAAGGCTGACACTACAGAAAAGACTGCAGCCTTTCCTTTCCCTGCATCTCCTTTACTCTTCCCATACCAGACATGTGAGCACACATCCTGCTACAGACACGCTTCTGCAAACATGAAGCGGTCACATATCATTGGAAAATTATTTATAAAAATGCATGTTTGAATAGCATGTGAAAATAAAACCTGCTTTCATGCTTTTTATGCTGTTGTGTTTATGAGTATGCTTATTTTTCATTCCGATTTATTTGTTCACACATATCTAAACAATGGCTTTAACATCTGACTGAAGGACACACTCCTAACGCTGAGTGTGAATAGATGGTTGGAGAGCCAGATGTCTCTAGGTGTGTGTGTGTGTGTGTGTGTAGTAATTATTCTCTGTCAAAGGAGTCCAGAAAATCACATGTTCTCAGCTTCATTCTCACAGTTCAGAGGCTATGTCACATATTTTTATTCCCAGAAGGGAACAACGTGAGGAAAGAGAAAAAGGAATTGGAAAAAGGGGAAATAAATGACAACATTTCTGTTTTCTTCATCAGGCTCAAGAAGAGGTTTTTTTTCTTCACAAATAGCACTTTGGCTTCAACGCAGCATCTGGCCTTGGGTGATTTGCTTCGCTGTTTGTTCTCTGTCTTATTGTGCTTTTTATCTCTGTAAAGTTGTTATTCCCATTGCCAGGCTGTGGCAGCCAAATTATCTGTGGAATTATTCACATTTTATGCCCTCATGCTGGGAAGGACCCCTCTGAGTGAGGTGTGTGTGGTGTGTGTGTGTGTGTGTGTGTGTGTGTGTGTGTGTGTGTTGTGTGCGTGCGCGTGTGTGCGTGCGTGCGTGCGTGCGTGCGTGCGTGCGTGCGTGTGTGTGTGTGTGTGTGTTGTTTTGGGAAATATTTGCTGGTTCTTTCTTGCTGGTTTGGTCTAGAACAGATTTTTCTAATCAATCTGTGTCACGGCTCATGTAATGAAGCATTTCTGCATTTCTCTTGTGGACAGTAACTCAGAACTTGAACTTTATTGATTCATTGTTTCTGACCTGATCAGTGGCGTTGCTATGGAAACCACAGGACCAGATCCCTGACCCGGATGAAAATAAACTAAAACAGCCCGACGCGACCCGTTTCCCTCAGATCGCAAATATTTGATGAAGTTACGTTCACAGCTGCAACTGGAAAAGCCTTTGACCTTCAGCATCAATCGTTCCGGGAGCGTGTTGTGATTCTACAATTAGGACTGCAGCCAACAACGATTCTGGTTTAAAATTACGCTGATGATTTCATTTTAAAAAAAATACATTTCGTTGCATAAAATGCGGCAGCGTGGCGAATGTCTGAACATCTGAAGCTAAAATCAACATGTGAAAAGCTCTGATCTTTCTTCTTTGCATCAATACAATGCAGGGCTAATCTATTGATTATTTTAGGAATAACTGACTAACTATTGATTTACAAAAGTTTTTTTTTTTTTACTGAATTTGAACCAGGTCAAGCTAAAAGTGTCACTTGGGAGTTTTGAGTAGAACAAACAGATAAAAAATAGTTTTTTTTTTCATTTTAAATGCAAAATGCATATGTTCTTTAATAAGTACTTACTTCTCTGACTGAATCGCTAAGTATAATCCAGTTAACAATTAATCCATTACTAAGTTAGTCAACTAAAAAGATTAATCACAATTAATCTGAGTAATCGTTTCAATCCTGTTTACTACTTTTCTTTGTACTGTAAGAAACAGAAAGAAAGTAAAATTGTCTTAAGTGTATTTATTTTTTAAATAAATGTGCAGCGGCTGCAGTTGGTAGCTCTGCTGCAACAAGAAGGTCTCAGGTTTGAATCCCGGCCTGCATGGAGTCTGAATGTTCCCCGTCTGCATACCATAACTTCAGGATTTAAAAAAACTATTTTGATGAATAAAATGTTTAATCTACAAAATTCAACTAAGTAAAACAGCTAATATTAGATCATAATCATATTTTACTCTCTCCTGCTTTGTTTCTTTTCCTCCTCCACTCCCTCATTGGCTCCTCTACGCTCCGTTCTTTCATCTCTTGGGCCTCCGGTGAGTCGGTGTCTCTGTTCCTGGGTCCAGACCGCAGCTGAAAGCTGCTGGTCTCTGAAGTCCAGACAGTGGAGAAAGAGGAAGCAGGC